AAAACAAATGAAGCCTCGGAATGTAACGACGTAATCGGGACTCGACGCTATGCGACGAGGTCCGCGTCCGGCAGGGAGCGTAGGGGAAGGTCGCACCCGGTCGTCATCCAGCGAAAGCCCCCCACAGATAGTGTGAGAAGTAACTCGAATGACCCCATCCAACAGCTTCCTGGGGTCGAAGATGGCAATCATGTTGCTGGAAGCCAAGAGCCCCAGCCCATAATGCCAGACAATAGGAGGAGAAAAAGAACCACGTGGACCACTGAAATGAACAGATTTGTGGTTCGCTCCTACTACAGAATAACTAAACTAGAAACATCTACAGAGCCCTATGGTACTGAACTACACAGACAAGTTATCATGAACTTCCCTCACCTGCAAGGCAAAACTGTGCAAACGTACTAGACCAGCGCCGATCCGTATTCATAAACAACAGATTGCCGGCAGAGGAGATAAACAAAATAAGAGAAGAGATATCCATAGAATTAGGAATGCAGGTACAAGCTCCGCAAGAGCACACAGAAAACCAAGAACAAATTGAGATAAACGATGGCCAACCATCTAAATACGCAGATGAGTTCAGGGGCTTGTTCATGAAGTATGAAGGTGTGGAACCAACTCTTAAACCAAGCCTACCAAAGCTAATAATAAAACCCCATACATCTGAGTATATCGCTGAAGTTAACAAAGTAATAGATAACGAGATTACAGAAGATACAACCTTGACTGAGCTCCATAGCCTGTTGTACATTGGAGCACTTACAGTCCTAAAATTAAATGAACAGAGAGTTGGCGAACAATGTGTAAGGAAAAACAGAAAACTGCCAGCCTGGGAGATGAGGATATCGCGTAATATAGAGGAGATTAGAAAGGACATAGCAATACTCACCCAGTACCGCAGGTCTGACTGTAGTCTGAGAGTAAAGAGATCCGCAGAGAATGTGATAAACCGTCACTGCTCGGAGGAGAACCCAACAGCCGTAGAAGTCTTGGACTACCTGAAGCAAAAACTAGCAGCTACAGCACTGCGACTTCGAAGGTACAAGAAAAGCAACGAACGCCGGAAACAAAATCGAGCATTCGAGACCAATCAGCGAGGCTTTTACAGGAACTTGCAGGCGCGACGGAGGGATACAGATCAGAACAACGTTCAGATTCCTACCTCAGATGCCATCAATACCTTCTGGTCAGGAATTTGGAGCAATCCAATCAATCATTCCACATCTAAATGGTACCGCCAAGAGAAAGCAAATAATTCAACTTTTAGGACCATGCTCGACTGGAAAGTAAGCTTAGATGACGTGGTAAATACTCTACGAAAATTACCAAACTGGAAAGCCCCAGGATCAGATAAGCTTCAGAATTATTGGCTAAAAACGTTCACTTCAGCTCACGATCGACTCGCAAAGTGTTACACCTCAATCTTAGAGCAACCAGATATGTTGCCAGAGTTCTTAACAATGGGAATAACATATTTAATCCCAAAGTGCGGCGATCACTCGAACGATCCGGCAAAATACCGACCAATCACCTGTCTGCCGACTATTTACAAGGTATTGACTGCTATAATTACTGAAAAGATATATTCACACCTAGAGCGGAATACTATACTAGACGAAGAGCAAAAAGGTTGCCGAAAAGGGTCTCGAGGCTGTAAAGAGCAACTTGTTATAGACTCTGTCATAACTAATTATGCCAAAAAGAAAAAAATACCCCTGTACATTGCATACATCGATTATCAGAAAGCGTTTGACAGTATACCTCACTCTTGGCTGTTAGAGGTGCTTGACCTTTATGGGATCGAGTGCCACATCAAACAATTTCTGGCACATGCTATGGCGAATTGGAAGACACGGCTCTATCTCAACACCCAAGATACGCAATTCAGTGCCGGAGAGGTATCCATCAAGAGAGGAATATTTCAAGGAGACTCTTTAAGTCCGCTATGGTTCTGCTTAGCGCTTAGACCGTTAACAACAATGCTAAACAGCCAAAAGAAAGGAATACTGTTAGGTGGCAATGAAACACGCATTTCACATCTTTGGTACATGGACGACCTCAAACTTTTTGCAGAAACCAAAGAACATCTTCATAAGCTTCTGGACTGTGTAAGTAAATTCAGCACTGACATCAAGATGCTGTTTGGCTTAGACAAGTGCAAGATCAGTTGCATGGTAAAAGGCCAGTGGAGTAAACATTCAGGATATGAGCCGAACCAAGTGCAAGGGAAAATTGAAGGAATGCAGCAAGATGAACAGTATAAATACTTAGGCTATCTACAAGCGCCGGGCATAGACCAGAAAGCTGCAAAAGAAAAGGCAATGGAGCACTATAGAACACGTTTGAGGGCGGTGCTGAAAACAAGTCTGTCAGCTCGTAATACAGCACTTGCTGTCAGCACCTACGCTACTTCGGTCCTTACCTATACGTTTGGCATACTGAACTGGACGGATACAGAACTGAACGCACTTAATGTGGAAACCAGAAAAGAATTCCGTAA